GATCATGACAGCCCAGCATTTTACTTAGTAAGATTGTTGAAATTTCAAGAAACTTACCAAGTAAAATTTTCTTACTCAATTGGCAAAAATTTTTGACTTAATTTGAGTCAAATTTTCAGGTTAACAAGACAAATAATCTTACACAATCTGAAAACAAGATTATTATTCTTACACAATCAGTTCTTGTTTAGTAAATCAGTCTCAAAACAAGATCAAAGAAACTTTTTGGCTGATATAAGATTTTAAAACTTGGTAAGATGGACAGTTTTTTGCAGTGCAGAAACATCACACGGTTCTGTCCCTTCTGAACAGTGCATGTGGCAGATAGTGAGACACTAGGGAACCGCATGCAAACACTTAAGATATGCTTTGTGTATTTTTTGTGCATGTGTGTGTGTGTACAATATCAGTCAAGGAGCACAATCCTGCATGACAACCTGGATGTCTTTTAAATTCAGTCAAAACGTACTTCTGATCAAGTTTTGTGACAGAAAGATGAAGCAAGCATGTTAGATTATTAATCTTGTTAGCTTGAAAAGTTTCCTTATTTCAAGAAGACTTATCAAATGCAGTTGTCTTACTGCACTGKCAGATTATTTCACTTTRTTTGAGAAGATTCAGACTATWAYCTAGTAGTTTTTTAACTTATTTGTAGCTGGCTAATTTATGCAGTGAAACTTAATAATACCCCTAACTCAGCATGGGTGACACAATTGTCCATTTTAATCAAAACAAATAAAGAGGTTGAAATTGTTTAAAAAAATTAATTTTGGATTGCATTTTTTAAATTGTTTTTAGTCATATGGAAGGTGCAAACACTGAAAAAACAAACATAACAAAAAGTTGTTAAAGCCACTCAGAGCAGTGTGGTTGGGCYACACACCTAATATTTTTTGAGACATACTTGAAGCTTTCTAGTTGAAGAATTTTTACAGACTCATAAACATTTTACCATCTTTTTTGATGTACTCRTGCTCAGTCTTAAGCACTCATATATTGCTCGTCTTGTGGTTATACATGGGTAACGTTTCAAAAGCTGCAAAACACATTTTTTCCTAGTAAACGTGTGGTTTGGATTTGAGTTAGTTTGAACATCTCAAGCTGCAGATGAGCTCCAGTTGTCCAGCAGGATTATCAGACAGGGAAGATATATAGTGCTATAAAGAATAAACAAAAACATACATTTATATAACATCATGTTTTAAATGTAAAATGGAGCCCTATGTAGACAGATACTTCATTTTTTAAAAACGTTTCTGCCTTTCTACACATTTTTGCATCAAATCTTCACCTGTTGCTCAGGTGGATGAGACTCACGATGCTGCAAAAACTGTCCATCTTACCAAGTTTTAAAATCTTTTATCAGCCAAAAAGTCTCTTTGATCTTGTTTTGAGACTGATTTACTAAACAAGAACTGATTGTGTAAGAATAATGATCTTGTTTTCAGAATGTGTAAGATTATTTGTCTTGTTAGTCTGAGAATTTGACTCAAATGAAGTCAAAAATTTCTGCCAATGGAGTAAGAAAATTTTACTTGGTAAGATTCTTGAAATACTTGATTTGACTCAATTTTTTTTTATTTCAACAATAATCATAGCGCCTCTAGTGTTTAGACATGGAACTGCATCCAGCGATGCTG